GGAGATGGCCTTAGGGGGGCGGCAAGTGCTGCCTGGCTCGCCTGGGAAGCAGCAGCAGCAGCAGCAAATGCTGCTGCTGCTGCAGCAGCAGGGTACAGCAGCAGACAGCAGAAGGGGACTTCTTTCCTTACATTCTCCTGCAGTGCAGCGCGTGATTCGTAAGCTCAGCAGCAACTGCAGCAGCAGCAACTGCAACGGCAGCAACTGCAGCAACTGCAGCAGCAGCAGCAGCAGCAGCAGCAATGTAGCAAATCTTACGCTGCTGTGCGTAATAAGGGATGAGGAAGAATATCTTATGGTGCAGCAGCTGCTGCTTAATACCCTTAATCTAGCTATACCTCCTGCTGCTGCTGCTGCTGCTGCTGCTTCTGCTGCTGCTGGTTCCTGTGCTGCTGCTGCTGCTGAAGCAGCAGAAGAAATACCCCTTATTGTGTGTGAACCTACGGAGGAAGAAAAGGAGCAACAGCAGCAGCAACAGCAGCAGCAGCAGCAGTACTTGCAGCAGCAGCAGCAGCAATTCATGCATCAATATGAGCACTCTCAGCAGCACTACCTGCAGCAGCACTACTTGCTGCAGCAGCAGCAGCAGCAGCAGCAGCAGCAATTGAATTTAAAGTTTGTTGCTGGCGAGCCTGCTAAGACACGCAGGCCATGGGCAAAAAGATTTCCTGCTGCTGCTGCTGCTGCTGCTGCTGCTGCTGCTGCTAGCAATACTTCTAATCCTGTACCTTTTCCTGCGCTGCTGCACCAGCACCCGCCGCAATAGCAGCAGCAGCAGCTCCTGCAGCAGCAGCAGCAGCAGCAGTATGTGTGTCAGTAATTCGCTGCAGCAGCAGCTTTTTATTTTTTGCAGTTAATTTTATTTATACACCCTTAGGCCTAAACCCTAAACCCTAAACCCTAGTTACTAGTAAATGTCAATACCCATACAACTAAAACCCTAAACCCTAAACCCTAAACCCTAAGCTTGCCTCACTAATGGATAAGCAGAAGGGTGTACAGCTGCAGCAGCAGCAGCAGCAGCAGCTGCTGCTGCTGCTTTTCCCTGTGCTGCTTTGCTGCTGCTATACTTCAGTATTGTTGCTGCTCCTGCTCCTGTTGCTGTCATGTATGCTGCTGCTGCTGCTGCAGCAGCAGCAGCAGCAGCAGCAGCAGCAAGGTGTATATGTTATTAGGAAGAGGGTTTGTGGTGTATCTATAGGCGCAGGTATAACACTTGAAAGGAGTCGGTGTGATTAGGGTTTAGGGTTTAGGGTTTACGTAAACCCTAAACCCTAATAAGAGGCAATTATGCCTCTATACAATAAAATATCCTGCCTTATAAGAGCAGCAGCAGCAACCTTTAAAAAGCGACACTGCTGCTGCTGCTGCTGCAGCTGCTGCTGCAGCAGCAGCTGCTGCTGTTGCTGCTGCTGTCATTGCTGCTACTTGTGCTGCTGTGGCTACTGCTGCTGCTGCTGTTGCTGCTGCTGCTGCTGCTGTCATATAAATTGTGTTTCTATTGCCGCTGCTAATGGCGGCTATAAGAGAAGAATTTGCTGCTGCAGCTGCTGCAGTTGCTGCAGCTCTTACAGCAGCAGCAGCAGCAGCATTAGCAGCAGCAGGAGCTGCTGCTAATGCTGCAGCAACATGAATCCAATAGTATGCTGCTGCACATCATCATCATATGTTGCTGTTGCTGCTGCTGCTGCTGCTGCAGCTGCTGCAGCATCTGCTGCATGGCCACCTCCATGATAATAAGTTCGTGGCCATCATCTTCTTCTTCTTTTTCTCCTTTTTCTTCTCCTTTACCCCCATCCAGATAATCTAGGGTTTAGGGTTTAGGGTTTAGGGCTTAGAGTAAATAAGAACAACTAGAATGCCAAATAATAAGTATAAATTTGTTATAGGATATAAATATATAAATAAGGGTTTAGAATAGAATAGAGTTTCCAAGGGTTTAGGGTTTAGGGTTTAGGGTTTAGGGTTTAGGGTTAATTTATACAGCCTTAAGAACAATAAGTATACCCCATACAACTCCCCATATCCAACCAACAAAAGGAAGAAGTAGCTGCAGTACACCAATGAGTAGATTTGCGGTGTCTCCTGAGGTAGCACCAATAATAATCATACCTAGACCAAATATAATACAATTAATTACCCCTAATATTAGGTATAGGGTTTTGTCTCCTGCAGAGGGAGGAGCAGGAACATCTAAGGATTTTAATCGTGTTAATATCGTGTCACAGAGACTCATCTTCGTAAAGTTATGATATAATTAGGGTTTAGGGTTTTTTCTAGGGTTTAGGGTTTAGGGTTTAGGGTTTAGGGTTTAGGGTTTCGAAGAAAAAAAAAAAAAAAAAAAAATGAAAATCTTAAGTTATGGAAATGCAGCTTATACAGCTAATGCTGCTGCAGCAGCAACTGCAGCAAATGCAGCAGCAGCAGCAGCTACTAGCCAGAGAGAAGAGAGATAATGTGTTGTTGTTGTACAGACGACAGCTGCTGCTGCTGCTGCTGCTGCTGCTGCAACAGAAGCAGCAGCAACACCAACTGCAGCAGCAGCACCAACCGTAATTATTTGTAGAAGATTTATTTATTTTATTATTATTTATAATAATACACTAATTAATTTTTAACACACTAATCAATTTTTAATAAATATGCTGCTGCTGCTGCTGCTGCTGCTGATGCAACAGGTGCTGCTGCAACAGCAGCACGCCGCAACACAGCTGCTTACTGCTGCTGCTGCTGCTGCGGCAGCAACGGAGCTGCTGCTGTCGATCCCAACAGCTCGATGATTTCCTGCTGCTGCTGCTGCTGCAGCAATAGCAGCAAAATAAATAATACTCAATAATAATTATATATAAATTAAATAAATAAAAGAATATCTTTTTCCCCTTATTTTTTAGTGTACACAGCAGCAACTGCAGCAGCAGCAGCAGCAGCAGCAGCACACCAGCAGCAGCAGCAGAAGCAGAAGCAAAAGCAACAGAAGCAACTGCAGCAACACATACTATAATTGACACACCAGGAGACTTTTCCTTCTAATAAAAAAAAGGAAGAAAAAAAAGCCTCCAAACCCTAAACCCTAAACCCTAAACCCTAAACCCTAATAACTAGCTGCACGCACACACACACACACAGAGCAGAAACATGGGAGAATACAAACCCTAATTTTATATTATATATTTCTTCTCTTCTTTTCTTCTTTTTATTTCCTTTTAAATCTCTAAACCCTAAACCCTAAACCCTTTAACACCAAACCCTAAACCCTAAACCCTAAACCCTAAACCGCGGACCTGTGTGCACGGGAAACTCCCATGTCTCCCCGCTTCCTGTAAACCCTTAGCTAGTTACCTATCTATCTATTTATCTATATAGGTATCTAACAAGGTAGCTAGCTAGCTAGTTATCTATATATATAAATAATTAGCTAGCTAGCTAGCTAGCTAGCTACTGCTGCTGTGTATTCCGGGAAATAATTTGCACGGCTAGCTGGTGCTAACAAAGGAGGAGTTATTTAGCTAGCTAGCTAGCTAGCTATATATATATCTTCTTCTCCTCTATCTATACAGCTAGCTAGCTAGCTACCTATCTAGCTAGCTAGCTAATTAGATGGATAGCTACACAGGAGAGCCACAAAACCCTCAGAAATTAGGGTTTAGGGTTTAGGGTTTGAGGTTTAGGGTTTAGGGTTTAGGGTTAGAATGCATAGCAGGGATGCACTGCGGGGACTTGACCTGCTGCTGCTGCTGCTGCTGCTGCTGCTTTTGCTGCTGCTGGTGCTGCTCTGCTGCTGCAACTCCTGTTACTGCAACTCTTGCTGCAGCATTTGCTACTTCTGCATTTGCTGCTACTGGTATCATTGCATCTGCTGCTGCTGCTGCTGCTGCTGCTGCTGCAACTCTTGCTGCTTCAGCTGCTGCAGCAACTCTTGCTGCTTCAGCTGCTGCTGCTGCTGCTGCTGCATTTGTTGCACTTGCTGCTGCTGATAGCAACAAGGAAGCAGCAGGCAAGTCACTAGAGGAGAAACCCTAAACCCTAAACCCTACACCATAAACCCTAGACCCTAAACCCTCGAGAAGAAACACAAGGGAGAAGATGGCGCTTGTTGGTGTATTTGTTTGTACATCTTTCCCTTGAGGGTTTAATTTAATTAATAAATTAAATAAATAAATAAATTAATTAATTAAATTAATTAAATTAATTAAATTAGTAATTAGGGTTTGCATGTTTATCCTTTCCTTTTTTTTGTCTTATTCTTTGCTTTCCTTCTATTGCCTTTGTTTCCCTTTGTCTCGTCATATCTAGGGTTTAGGGTTTAGGGTTTAGGGTTTAGAGTAATCGTCGGACTTAGACTGTTAGGGTTTAGGGATTAGGGTTTAGGACATTTAGGGTTTAGGGTTTTGATTTGCATATAACAATTGTATTTAAATATAATTTAATTAATGAAATAAAAAGCGAAGAAAACCCTTTTATAAAAGAAGAGTAGCAGCAGCAGCAGTAGCAGCAGCAGCAGGATATTTGGGGTGTATAGGCAGCTCGTTTGCTATGTAGCAAGGAAGGGAGAAGATGGTTTATTATCATGAAATAATAATTATTTATATTTATTTATTTATTTTTTAATTATTTTTTATATTTTATTTATTTTAATTCTTTTTTATTTCCTTTCTGCCGTCGCCTCTGCACGGTAGGCGTCTCGCATGCAACTCTTAACCCTAAACCCTAAACCCTAATCCGCGAAAGGAACTGGGGCTTGATTTCTGCTGTCTTCAAGGGTTTAGGGTTTAGGGTTTAGGGTTTAGGGTTTTAAAGGGATTTTATTTATCAATGTTTCGTTCTTTTGAGTTTCCTTACGTAGGAACTGGGGCCCAGGGTTTGCGGTTTCAACAGATTAGGGTTTAGGGTTTAGGGTTTAGGGTTTAGGGTTTAGGGTTTGGACAACTGTCTCATATATTTACATTTTCTTTCTTTGGATTCTTAATTTTACTCAAACCCTAATATATAACAAAGGCAAAATGAATAGACCTGCTGCGCCGGTAAACCCTAAACACTAAACCCTAAACCCTAATTCTTAATTCTTAAGGTCAATGTTACCACAAGTAGTATAGAGAAGGCATTTCCTTAGTGCTTCCTAAACCCTAAACCCTAGAAACCTTAAGGGGTTCCTTATGGATACACTCCTAGGGTTTAGGGTTTAGGGTTTATCGTCACTTATAGCCACTATTAGCCTTCATCCAAACATCTACAATTCTCTTCAAAGGGTTTAGGGTTTAGGGTTTAGGGTTTAGGGTTTGTGTGTGACAGAATTGGAACAAGCCCTTGGCGGCGTTGATGGATACAATTCTAAATGGCAGTATTAAATTCAAACATGCAGCAGAGGTAAACCCTAAACCCTAAACCCTAAACCCTAAACCCTAATATATAATAGTATAAAGTTGCTTTCATAGACTTTTTAGCTTTCTTACTAAACCCTAAACCCTAAACCCTAATTAACACTCCTTAAATAATCACATCAACACAAACACACATAACCAAACCCTCAACAGCAGCAACAGCAGCAAACAGCCCAAGGACCCTAAACCCTAAACCCTAAACCCTAATCTCATTCCCCCAATTAGGCTAAACCCTTTCTCGACCTCCTCTACCCCTCCAAGACCACCGCTAAAACCCTTTTTTCCCCTCTTTCTGCTCCTGCCCTCCTCCTCTCCCCCCCCAGCAGCAACAACAACAACAGCAACAGCAGCAGCAGCAGCAGCAAATAAATTCTTTTTTTTTTCTTCTTCTTCTTCTTAGGTTGGACGGCGGTCTGTTATGTATTGCCGTGGTGTAGATTTAGTGAATTGGCTAATGGAGAACAAAGACATAATTAATAAAAGATTTAAGGATACAATTGTTATTAATAATAATAATAATATAAATAATAATATAAATAATAATATAAATAATAATAATAATAATAATAATAATAATAATAAGGAAGAAAATGATATAAATAAAGATATAAATAATAATAAAGAAATAAATAAAGAAATAAATAATAATAATTGTATACTTAGGGATAAGGCAGATGTTTATTTATTATGTAATAAACTTATACAGCATGGATTCCTTTATAAGGCCGAATATAGACCTGTATGTCTAGGGTTTAGGGTTTAGGGTTTAGGGTTTAGGGTTTTGAAGGGTTTAGAATGGTTTAGAAGGGTTTATTAGGGTTTAGAGGGGTTTGCAGTTTTAGGGTTTACATTTTGAGGGTTTATAACTCGGGGGTTTTGTTCGTAGTGTTTGGCTGAGGGGAAACAGTTCTTGGGGTTTAGGGTTTAGGGTTTAGGGTTTGACTATTTGTGCTGCATGCAGCTTGACGGAGCACTTGAGGTCGGGGAAAATGGACGCTGTAAGTTTTAGGGTTTAGGGTTTAGGGTTTAGGGTTTGTATGCCTTATAAGGGTTAACAAGAGTGTTAATTAGTGTTACCATGAGTGTTTATGATGATTAGCATGAATTGTTTTACTGATGTATTATTGTTTATTATTATTAATTCATATTTATAAAAATTTAATTTTTAGGGTTTAGGGTTTAGGGTTTAGGGTTTAGGGTTTAGGGTTTAGGGTTTTTTTTTTTTCAGACCGGCGCCCAAAGTGGCCAAAAAGATTAGAAATGAGCGCGAAGCAAAACTTTGAAGAAAATCAATTTTATTGTTGTGTTTATGAAGGAAGTAAAAAGTGGCAACATTTTATGCTTTTTTGTGTTGTTGCTGCTGTACTGGTAAGGGTTTAGGGTTTATAAAGGGTTTACGAGGGTTTACAAGGGTTTACAAGGGTTTACGAGGGTTTACAAGGGTTTATAGGGGTTTATTAGGGTTTACGAGGGTTTAGATGGGTTTATTAGGGTTTACGAGGGTTTATTAGGGTTTGAGCTGTATCTATCTCTGCTGTTGCTGCTGCTGTTCGTGCTGCTATTGCTGCTGCTGCTGCTGCTGCTGCTGTTGCTGTTGCTGTTGCTGGTGCTGGTGTTTTTTTGTGTTATATTTGTTTTGTTTAATTTTTCTCCTCCTTTTCTCTAAACCCTAAACCCTAAACCCTAATTTGTGGTTTATGTATTGCAGTGTGTATGTATGTTCCCTGCTTGGCCATTACAATTAAAGATTGGGGTTTGGTATATTGCTGTTATATTCCTTACTCTTCTAGTGAGCTAGGGTTTAGGGTTTAGGGTTTAGGGTTTAGGGTTTATTAGGGTTTTTTTGATCAGATTAGGGTTTAGAAAGTAGCTGTTGGTGTGATTTTTTTTGTGTAACAAACCCTAATTAGTGTTTATATATAATTAGGGTTTATAAATAAGGGTTTATATATTTTTTTTCCCTCTTTTTTTTTTTTTGCAGTTATTAATAGTATTAATAAGATTAATTATATTTATATTATTGTGGTTTATTGGGTATGATTGTTGGTTATTCCCTAACTTATTTAATGAGGATGCTGGCTTAATTGATTCTTTTTATCCTTTTATTCTTTTTAATAAAATA